CAAGAGGAAAACACACTGGCTAAGCCTCCTAAAACGACTGACAACAAGGCAGGAAATAAAAGCAGCTAAGCTTAACGTCAACAGCAAAGCAAACGTCAGTTAGGCTAACTTGCTAACGTCAGCTAGCGAGCAAGCTAGCCCGCCAGCTAGCAGTATTTTAGCGAGCGATATTCCTGAGGCAAACGAGGAAGAGTACCAGCATGAGATGATAAAACAACTGTCTGTTTCTGAGCGTACTGGACGATGCAAAGTGTGTCGAGGCTTTCCCAGACAGACCTACTCACATCCAGCGGCTAGAGCAAACTGTGTGTAGGCCCGAGCAGAGCGGCTGTCGGACGCGGACCGACCCGTCCGCCGTGAGTTCGACCGAGAGGGGAAATCTCTGCTGCAGCCAGCTGAGCGCAATCGGATAGCAGACACCCAAAGAGCACAGCCGGTGGAGGCAGCTTATATCCCAACTGAGCAGCCACTCACGGCACACAAGGTGCGAACTAAACTGTAACACATCATATAAGCCCCGTTCCCGTATTTAATATTAGCCGTGGAAAAAAAGAAAACACTCTGAAAAACAGCGGCCATTCCGAAGCTGAACAAAAGAGTGCGTTCGTACTCACCACCGCAAAATGACACTTGAACGTTACACGCGCCGTAACAGAAGGCGGACGAGTGTATTATGTCTGGGTTGATGCGTTACCGTGCTGTGTGGGTAAAACGTCCACTGTTAATGTGATAATATAACTGTTTTACCTTCAGAGGTGTGACTCCGCCTTCCTTGCTGCTTCCTCCTCTTTTCCTACACTGCTGCTCTGCTCCCCTCCCTCCCCTGCCACCAAACTGCGTCATTCGCACGCCTAACCAATGTTATCACGAGACTTTGAAATACACTGCTCAAAAAAAAAAAAAAAAAAAAAAATTAAGGCAACACCAAGTCAGTGAAACTTCAGGGATGTCAATCTGTACATATAGGAAGCACAAATCAGTTTCACTTGCTTTGGTGCAAATGAAAGTGACAGCAGGTGCAGTGAAGAGGGAAAAGCAACACAACCTCCAAAAGGAAATTGTTTTACATGTGGTTCACTAGATTTGTGTTCTGCTAGTGTCTATTCTTGTTTATTTCGGTGAACATTTTAGAAACCTGTGTGTAATATTATCTGCACATGTAATCAAAATCCCCGTGCCAACCCTATACTGAATGCATATCTTTATAGTTCCGGGTTACCTGTGGGGGGGGGGACTCTAATTAACGGCACACAGAAGGCACATGAGTGATGTAGCTGCAAACTCCTGGCAAAAGTTGGAAAGCTTTAGTGCTGGTAAATAAGCTAGCATGTGTATAAGTCATTTATTGTAGTTGAAGATGCATGAAAATGTAACGACAAGTCATTACTAATGTTTTCCTTAGTCGTTTTTAGCGCACCAACCCAAACGTCAAATCTGTCAGAGGTTGTCTCATTTGCAGGAGACTGACAGAGAGCTTGCCACTGTGTGTGTGTACTGACTGTGATGTGCTACTCCTATAGATGCTGTTTGGAGTTTAATTGTTAAATTAAATATTACCTTTGTTGAATGAGTGGCCCGCAAATGTGAAAATAAGATCCTGTTTCAATGTGCTTTTTTTTTTTTTTTTTAAAAGATGCTTGAATTAAAAGTTAACTAGAAGGTGAAACGTCTTGTGAAGAGCATATATTGTTTCAGTGGATATACATATTTATTCATTGAGTATTGTTTTAGCTTTCACTGTGACTACTGATTTGAAATGCACGTATAATAACTGTAAGGGCACACATATTTTGGTGTGCACATGTTTTTTGCTATTCATATATTTTGACACAAAAAGTTGGAAAGCTTTTGTGCTGGAGCCTGGGAGAGAACTTGCCACTCTGTGTGTACTGAATGTGCCCCATGCTACTCCTATAGAATAAACGCAGAGATCCTGATTCCTGGTTTGAATGGTGTTCTTCCGCCTGTGAGCAGCCATCCTACATTTGTCACTACTGGTAGCATGAGGCAATACCTGCAGCCCAGTGAGGTTGAACAGGTAGTCCATCCATCCATACGTGCGGTTGCAAGAAGGTTTGCTGTCTTCCAGCACAGTCTCAAGAGCATGGAGTAGATAAAAGGAGACTGGCAGCTACATTAGGAGAGCTGGACAGGGCTGTAGAAGGGCATTAACCCAGCAGCAGGAGCGGTATCTGCTCCTTTGTGACCTCCAGTAGGCTACTGGTGTGCATGTTTCTGACCCAACTGTCAGAAACAGACTGCGTGAGGTTGGCATGAGGGCCCAACGGCCTCTAGTGGGACCTGTGCTCACAGCCCGGCACCGTGCAGCTCGATTGGCATTCACCAGAGAGTACCAGAACTGGCACGTCCACCACTGGCGCCCTGTTCTCTTCACAGGAGCAGGTTCACACTGAGCACATTTGTCAGTCGTGAAAGCGTCCATAGTCGCCGTGGTGAATGTTATGCTCCATGCAACATCATACATCATGACAGGTTTGGTGGTGTGTCAGTGATGATGTGGGGAGGCATATCCTTGGAGGGTCGCACAGACCTCCATGTCATAGCCAACAGTACCCTGACTGCTGTTAGGTACCGGGATGAAATCCTCAGAGCAATTGTCCAACCTTACGCTGGTGCAGTGGGCCCTGGGTTCCTCCTGGTGCAGGGCAATTCTCCGCCTCATGTGGCCAGAGTGTGTAGGCAGTTCCTGGATAACGAAGGCATTGATACCATTGACTGGCCCTCTCGTTCCATAAATCCAATTGAGAACCTATGGGATGTTATGTGTCAGTGCATCCAACACTGCCAAGTACAACCACAGACTGTCCAGGAGTTCACTGATGCCCTGATCCAGGTCTGGAAGGAGATCCCCCAGGACACCATCTGCCAACTCATCAGGAGCATGCCCAGTCGTTGTCAGGTCAGGAGGTCATACAGGCATGCAGAGGCCATACACACTGAGTCACATTATGAGTTGGCATGATAAAAGTCACGCAAGTTGGATCAGCCTGCAATTTCAATTTTTTATTTTTAGTTTTGGTGTGACTTTGAATCCAGCTCTCAGTGGGTAGATGATTTTGGTTTCCACTGACCGTTGTCACGTTGTTTTGTTCTCAACAGATTATACAATATACATCAGTAAAGATTTTCAATTTGAATAATTCATTCATCAAGATCTGATGTGTGATTTAAGTGTTCCCTCAATTATTTTGAGCAGTGTATTTTGCTCTGTGGTTTCTACCCGTGTTTGTACTTTCCCCTTTGCTGCGGTAATGATGTAGATCTCCCCACTGTGGGACTAGTAAAGGGTGATCTTATCTTATCTTATCTTATCTTGAGTAATATGAATAAAATACATGACAATATTCCAGTACATCAAGTAAAATCCTACATTAAAATGTCATTGAAAGACTCTGTACAGACATGATAGACAAGAAGAAAGAATACTCTGCTTGGAATAATTATATGTTTTTGTTATCATTTTCCCAGAGAAAATTCAATTACCTTGATTAAGTTCTTACATCTATCCATTCCTCTTTGAAAAAAATCAGAATATATGAATATGCAAATATTTTTCCATTTGAAAAGTGTGAGTGTTTGTCATAAAATATCTCCTCTGTCACTGCAAAGTCTATTCTCAGTGTAGACTATGTGTCCTGAGTGTTTCAACTTTCCTCATCACACCTGGATTAATTGAATATTTCATTACGACTGGCTTCCATACCAGCTGTGATTTCATAAAATCATGCTTGTATCTCGCACACACCTTAAACTCAGACTGAAGGTGAACACAGAGAAACTTTCCTAAAAATAGCCTGCTAGTATCAAACTTTTCACGTAAATAATTCTGCACAGTGAAGCTCAAACATCTAAGCGAAGTTACTATTATAAAAAACATATTTTTAAGTGCAGTGGAACTGTAAAAATATAAATAAATTGCGTGTTAGTATTGACAACAAAAACTTAGGAAGAATTGTCATTTTCAGACATTTATATTCTTTTATTGTTGGATTCTTACCATTTTTATATATTTATTTATTAAATTTATATATTATTAATCACTGGGAAATTGTGTTTTTTATGTGACTATAATCACTTAGTGTAAACACGCTAATTAAAACCCCACAGAGTCTACAATGTCAGTAATATGAAGTATGAAATAAGTCTTTAAAGGGTTTAAATCATGACACTTTAAATGTGATTGCATGATGGGTTCCAATTGTATTTGTTGCATATATCTAACCACATGCCCGCAAAAATATGATATTTTTGATCAAAAAAGCAATTTGCAGGCAGCGTGTTTTGTGTGATTGTGTGTAAGAGGGAGAGCCCACCAGTTATCACTTTAATGTTGCAGCTGGTAAAGGTGGAGCTCATTTTAAATGCTTTATTTACTGCTGGGTAGTTTTATCTATAATTATAAATCATCATTTATTAGTTTATTATTATTTAGTATTATTAATCTGTGTTAAAGTAACTAAAGCACACTAATAAATGTAACAGAGTAAAAATTACAATAATTCCCTCTGAGATAAACAGGAGGTGAAGCGTAAAGTAGCATAAAATGGAAATGCTCAAGTATGTATACTGTCCTCCCTCAAAATTCTTTGAATTTTAATTGTCGAAGTTGCAAAGTACTTCAACACAATACTAATCACAAACAATTACTAATGTTTTTAACATCAAAATTCCTAATCAATCTGAGAAAAACACTTTTTAGTGGTAAATAACATGTCAGAGAGCATTAAAAGGCATCAAAATAGAGCATTTTCATACAAACCAAACAAACAAACAAAACAAAAATCCCTTGGGAGGATCCCTAAACCCCCAATGTTCTCAAATCCCCAAAACAACAACTGTGCAAATAAATAAACAAATTACTAGTGCAAAAAACGAACATCGTGGTCATGTTTGGGGTTGTGTTGTACCGAGAGCCGCCTGTAGATGTCAGTAAAGCACTGTGTCCGAGAAATAAAGCGAAGAAGAAGATCACGTGATTCTCGCGGAAGCGTTGGCCTGACAACCGCTGTAATCTCTTCCTAGTGCTAAAGGTGGGACTATCAAAAAATCATTTTCTAAGCAATGTTTTAGATTAAATGTGTTCATACACGACAGCGGAAAGATATCGCAGTGTACTGGCGGCAGTAACGACTTTATTTGACAGGTATTTACAAAAAATAAGCCGCTGTTGCTATAGCTGGGCCTGTGCTGTGTCGTTAGGTGCTAATGCTAGCTAGCGTTATTTTGAGCTAGCTGTTAGCTATTATGTCATCAAATACCAGGGCCCGTTTCTTATCCTTCAATTAACTCAATGAACCAATGATAATGTGCTCGGTATTAACCAACCAACTTTAACACTGCCATATACCCATATTGTGGAAACTGGGATCGAATAGAATAGAAACGCGAATATTGTAACAGCTAAATTTTACAAATACACGACAGGAGAGCACCGATGCAAAATAATTTTTGTTCGTTTAGGATGGTTTAATGTTATTTGTATTGTAATGTCTAACTGATTTTACTCTTATTGATATCCTGAATACCACTTGATGTGTTACTAACCGATGTCACCTGGCTGCAGACCAAAATTTTAAAATAATATCTCACTATCGTTCGGATTACTGAACCTCTAATAATATTACTGTGCATGTGAATATGCTAGATTGTTCCCCAATTTTGCGTGAATGCAATTAAAGGGACTGTTCTTAACTTATCAGAGAAGGGGGCGGCTGAGGTGTGACTTCGTTTTTAGTTACTTACTTTTATCTTGACCCTCCCCAAAACTATAAATATTTTCCCTTGAGCCTCCCTGAGAAACTGCAGAAAATGCATGACCCTCCCTCCACCATGAATTAGCCACTAGATTTTAAAATGTACTCGTTGATATTTTAACATTTAAAGTTTAAGACAATTTGGTGATATTTAAAGAACACATGCCTTATAAACAGGTTTGGAACCTATGTTTTATTTAACAATCTGCAGTAAAATACAGCTATTTTATGTTTTTTATCCCTCCCCTAAGCCAAAATAAAAAAACAGAAATATATGACATGCCTCTCACTTTTTGTACCATCCCCTCCCCCCCTAATGATTAACGAACAGTCCCTAAGGGAATCATGAGTCATCACCATCATCAACTAAGAGACACCCAGTAACATTAGCAGCTATCTTGATAACCCCAAACTGTCACATTTTTAAATCTTAGGCTTCTTTGCTCGAGTAGAGCTGCATGAATTCACAGATATCACGTACACAGCCCCCAGCACCTTTAATAAATCTCTGTCAGATAAAACATGTTAAAAGTGATAAACTAATATGTTTACCTTTCAGAAAGCACTCAGAAGACACAATGCCAGAAGTCAAGTCAATATTCAGAGAAGTTCTGCCTAAACAAGGTTTGTACCACAGCAGTTAGCTATTTGGACAGCAGAAGTTCCAAACAAAAGGCTGTTTGTGGAGCTCAATACAACATGTGAACTGTTTAGAAATGTGCAAAAGCTTGCAAAATTAGTCAGTGGGTGCTCTGTGCTGTGTGCTTGCTCTTTACAGTCTCTTTTACAGCCCAACACCACTGACATTGTTGCTGTGCAAACATTTAGATAATGTGGGTCAGTACCATTGCTGGAAAGAAGTGATGTTCTGAGGTGTTAAATGCCGTCTAATGGGTATAAGCTGTTTATGAGCTGAGCACCAGATGTGTGAAATGTCCAGATTCTTCATGCCGTTAGAGTGACTGGCAAAAATCAGTGCAACAGATATTAAAACATTGGCAAGCAATTGTGTAGTGAGTCACAACTGAGAGCCTAGAGAGACTATGGATATAACAAGCCTACTGATGGGACATTGCTCCCCCCTTCTTTTAAATCTTGGACATGACAGGCTACTAGAGTGACATAAATTCAACAGCAGACCTGTTTTGGTAGTGATGCTCTCACAGTTGCAGTCCTTTATTTAAAAGTTAGTAGGTAGGTACATATCTCACTGCGAATGTGTGAAAGGTTTCTGTGAAAAATCGCAACAATCCAGCCAAGTCTCATCATCTTTGCATTTAAGCCAAGATTAGTTGATGAGATTTGAGAGTTCATGTTAGAATTGAGTGTTTTTTTTTCTCTTCTTTATTTTGGCATTATATCCACAGGGCAACTTTCCATGGAAGATGTCCCTACCATGGTTCTGTGTAAGCCAAAGCTGCTCCCACTCAAATCAGTCACCCTAGAGAAACTGGAGAAGATGCAGATGGAGGCTCAAGAGGCCGTCAAGCAGCAGGAACTGGCAATGAAGGAGCAGTTGCAGTAGACACCCAATGGAGGACTCGGAGCAGCAGGAATGGTCAGATTGGCAGAGATCCTTCAGATGGATGGCACAGACCCAGAGATTTCACGCACTGGTAGAATAAGTATTTGCATGGACAGTCGATGTCAAGAAGTTACTGATGTTTGGCTGCATAGAGCAGATAAGAAGGGAGTTATCACCTGAGCTTAACTCTTTTGAGAGTCTCTCTGTTCACTAGTTATTGTCAAATGTTCCACTGCATGTCATTAGTCGGGTACTAAGACTTGTGTACTTCTGCAGACTTTATATTTGTATTGTTGTATCTGTAATCTCGCATAAACGCATACAAGAAAATGTCAGCTAACTGCATCCTTGTTGAGTGAATGTAGGGCAGAGCAATCTGTGTGTCAGATTGAACAGTGACGTTGCGACATGTAGTTGTGTGTTGATGTTGTTACATTGACAAAAGCAGTCTTGAATTATTTAATAGTGATTTAATGAACAAACAAGGAGCAATACGTGGTACATTTCACACACCAGTATTCCCCAGATATAAAAATAAACACTCTAAACACCATTTTGTGAAGTTACCCAACTTGGTATTTGTCTTTGCGCTGTCCTCGTGTCTTGATACCTTCAGTAATGACATCTTTGTGTAATTTAAAGGGTAAAAAGAAGAAAACAAAAGTCAAGCACAGCATAGAAACAGCAGCTAGTTAGGGAGCCAGTATTGCATTTAACCAACGTGCTCCCCTTTCTTTATTTTTTTTTAATACCCCTTTATAAAGCTGTTGACACAAACCAGTCATCTCTGTACAAACACTGCTTTCTACAAAACACAAAAGGAGTGGCAGTGAAATCAAGAAAATACTGTACAAAACAACATGGAATGACTGACACTGCGAGGTGTGGCACTTTAAGGGTTAGCTTATGTAAATGTTTATATCGAAACACCTTGGAGAAAGTGATCTACTTCAGTTTCAGTCAAAAGTGCAGTTGTTGTTTTTGTTTTGTTTTTTAACCCCCACCTCACTTTACATTCTTTTGACTGTTAGAAGGGGAAAAAAATTGTACCCAACTATTTTGAAAAATATGCAAGTAAAAAAGTAGCTTTATCCTCTTCAGGAAATCTGGCACATAAAAAGGGCTCTTCAGTAACTTTCAAGCTTGACAACACCACCGTCTCCCTCGCTGACAAATCTCTTACGGCCTCTGACAAGAGAAAGAACATATTAACATCCGGTAACAACAAAAACAAAACACATCTTCAGAGATGAGTGTAAGGTGTGTGCACTTACCGACAGGGACAAAGATCTCTTAGTTTTACATCAATGATTCCCATACTGAAGCTCTTGTCAACATATTGCTCCAGGATGAAGTACGCACGAGGGACATCAATGTTGATTTCAGCAATGTCCATATAAACTCTTTCATAGCCCTACGAGAGAAATAAAATGACTAAATACATATAAAACACCATCATCTTAAGGCAAGCAAATAAATAAGCTGCTGCTTGGTGAAATAATTATGTGCAGTGCATGATTCAAACACCAGGTGGCACCTCACCCTTCTCATTTGGTCCACAGTGATGACAGAGGAGGCAGAGAGCGACCTGAGAAGCTGCAGAACCATTTTCAGTGTTTTCTCTCCTTTGGACTCCAACACCATCACTATCGCCTGAGGGACATTTAAATATGCACAGCCTGGTATAAGTACTATGACACACACTTACTGCAGTGCAATCTACACTCAATGGGGATTAAAAATAGAGATGAAAATAAGATGTTCCAAATAATAATGGGAGTGTCCATCATCTGAACACACAACACTGTTCTAGTTTAGAATAAATATGCTCTTTCTGCCTCAGCTGAAGGAGTTGTGATGCTTTAAGGACACACTGAGTTTGGGCCTTTTGCTTTTAACTAAAAGACAATGTTTACCTCATAGACAAACTCATGGTGAAAATGAGGAACCTCCAGATCCCTCAGGCACCTCTCAGCCTCCTTGCTGTCTCCAGATAGGATGTACTCCTTCAGCAGCAGGTTCATCTGGCAGGACAGAGAAAACATCTCTTAATGCAAAGCAGTAATGATGACAACGAGTGTAACAGACAATGGCAGACAGTGACCAAAGCAGCTAATAATGCTTAAGTTTAAGTTGTGCACACTTGCCAAAGCTGACCTCAAATAAGACAAAATTCTTGTATTATACTGTGCACGGAATAACGTCACAGTCAATCAGTTGTTCTCGTGAAAACGCATTTACAGTGTGCGCTAGAGGTCTTAATCGAGTAAAACTTTTTCATTTCTTTGTGAAACAGACTGAGCTGCTGAGTTTGACATAGGTTACCATGGTTATGCGTCTCTAAATGGCCAGGAGGCTCACAGGAAGAGACGTGGTAATTACAACTAGATGTTTATGAATTAGGGTATCACTCAAAGTATCCTTGGAAATCCACCTTTCTCAAACAACAGTGAGCCAGATACATTGATACCATTAAAAAAAGCTTCATGTAGTGCTGTCTGTTCTCTAGCATTTGAGAAAAAGAGCAGATATTGTTTATTTTCCAGACATCAAAATTCTTCTTTCTTGTCTGCAAGGCCTTTTTCAGGGTTGTACATTTACTGAACCAGATAAAGCTTCACAATACAAAATGCAGAAATTACACACACACACAAAAATCTGATGAATTTTAATTGAAAAGGTGAAATGAAAAACAAAAATACATAAGGTACAATGGCTCCTAAAGAACAGCTCTACCACCAGTGTCTTCTCGAGTCTGTGTTATGTAACCTACCTCTTTGATGAGCTGTATGACAGGTCTCTGGCCCCCGCCGGTCCCCCACTGGTTGTCTATGCGTAGGCCACCCATGCTCATCTTCAGCAGCACCGCCGCCCGGTCTAGTGACGCTCTGGAAGATTAAAAAGGTTTGTGGGCCAAAGTTGTCACACTGCAACACTCTCCTTCACTCCTACATTCATTACTGCTCCATCTCTCATTCTTGCACAAGATCACTCTACATCTCCTCTAATAAACAACAAGTGTTTCACATGTTTGTTACACCTGTTTTGTGGGTGCTGTGGTGTTGACACAGCACCTTTATCAAAAGTTGCGTGTAATGTTTCAGAGTGAGTAATGTTTTGAGAGATCTTGTGAAGTGTTTTATTTACTGAACTGTCTTAATTTTCTTCCTGCAGTGACCACTCTTTATGCTATAATCATAATGGTGGATATTATATGGACACACACTGTATGATTTTAAGAGAATGCCCTCTTATCTTGAGGGATTCACTGTAATCTCACAGACAAACACTTAAAACCCTGACATAATCTCTAAGGATTTTCATGGTAATAGCATAACACAAAAACTAACATCACAACACCAGCAGAGCTCAGCCAACACATACCTTGTATACGGACAGTCAACTTTGCCTTTGTAGCCATCGATATAGCTCTTGGACAATATTTGGTCACTCACAGCGCGTGCAATGAACTGGCCCACCAACTAGAAAATGAACACAAAAGAGAGGGAAAATGTAAACAGACCAAAACAAATTACAATGTGAAAGGTGCTTGTTATTGTGCTGACTCATGATTAAACAGGTCCTCTTGTTTAATATAAGCAAGTCAAAAGGTGATAGATGTAGACTGTAGCTAGAGTTAAGGATCTCATGTTCATGGATGATTCAATACACCTCACATTTCTGTGCAGGGACATTTGAAGAATGCATTAAGCAATGAACATTTGTTCAGAAACATGCAGGCATTCGTATGACTCACCTTTTTTTTTTTTTTTTTTTTTACAGGCATTAGTTGTATTTAAAAATCAGTGATGCAATTTTTCTATTAGGAACAGTGAACAGAAAACAGTTTTGTTGCATGATGATATAAAGATTTAACTCATTTAATCCTCTCCTCTCAGTCCAAGAATGTTTCCAAGCAAAACAAACAATGCTGTTACACATTACTGGGTCACAAGTACAAAATACTTTCAGTCTGAAGAAGTGGAGGCCCCACAAAACCACTGACATGACAAATGACTGGCAGCGGCCTCAGAGGCATGTGTTTGTTTACAGTATTATGAGCACATGATTGAGGGAAACTAAAGAGCTGGCTTTGCTCTTCTGGCCTTGACAAAGCCTGTGCTCATCACCGATCATTGTTCCCATTCAGACAAGAGGCAGCTCCGTCTCATTTGACCCGTGGCTGTGGCTAGACTGGCAGGCAGGAGAGGAGAAAGAGAGGAGTGTGCACTCTGTGTGTGTGTGTGTGTTTGTGAGAAACTGAGAAAGCGAGAGTGAAAGGGGTGAAGGGAAGGAGGTGGGGGGCAGGGCAGACTCATAATGTCCCTTTAAACCCACAGAGAACTGTGAGAGTGGGACAGAAATGACTAGTGAGCCCCACTGAGACAGCAACAGGAGGGGTGTAGGGGGGGAGGACGACCAATGACCCTTTGAGCGTCCTTTGCTGAGCTTGCATTTTGCAAGCACAGACAATGGACAGAAATCTCATGTCTGTACAGGCTGAAAAGGAAAGAGCTCAAACACACGCGCGCGCACGCGCTAGCTCTCATACACAGGAAAACATCAACCCACAGTGTTGTTTCCCTCCGCTCCACCACAGACTGTGTACAAACTCGAACACGCCACCTTGAGCTATAAACATACTTTCAGCTAATGAGTCCAGCGAGTTGTGTGTTTACGGTTATCGGACTGGCAGATGTCAGGTTCAAGGTTGACCTATTGTTGCTATACAACATGAGGTTGCACAACAAAATGCAGTTGAAGTTCCTTTTATGCTACAAAAGAAAAATAAAAGGGTCAGTTTGGATTTTTAATTTAATACCCACCCTGAATTCACAGAAATTTAAGGTAATTTAAGAATTAAGTGGCTAATTGACCTCTAGACCCTAAGGAGACTCACCTGTGGGGCTCCGGGTGTGTCCAGGACCAGATCGGGCAGCTCTTGAAGCAGTTTGTCGAAGGAGTTTTCCATGTCACTGTGGGACAGCACGGGCCCACACAGGTCAGCCAGCAGCCTGGAGGTGAGCTCCCGGTGGCTGGCTTTGGCCTCCAGGGCCAGCGACACAGCCAGCGAGGGCACCTCGCTCCGCATTGGTCCCAGGTTCAGTTCGGCAAGCAGCTCCTGGATGTGGAGACAGACGTTAACTTGGCTTTATGGTTGTGTTCATGTCTTTCAATTTGTTTTAGTTACTCTATGTAGATTTCTGCTTCTGTTACACGTAAGTACATGTTTACTGACACTCAGGTTGTTTCCTGCTCACTTACCGCTACTTCATTTGTGTCTCCGTGTTCAAAGTACTCTTGTACTATGGGGGTGACTGTCTTCTCAAAGTCCCTCTCATCCAGCGGAGGAACCACAGTCTCATACACACAGTTTTCCTTTAAAAAAACAATCATATTCCAGGTGTTTCAGAGATTAAATAGGGATGAGCTGCTAGAAATGCTGCTCATGTTATGTCTTAACAAAAATTACACATTTGAGGTTCAGGCTGTGCATTGGATCACATGAGTTTTTACAAGTGATCATGATGTTCCAAACATGACATTTATAAT